AAGAGAACTACAAACGTCAGGCTCTTCACAACAAATCCCAGGATTACCCTAACACATCACAGGCATTCCAGGAAAACACGTCGGCCTTTCGACATGTTTTGGTCAGGGTGAAGTTTGCTACACGAGCACAACTCATCAATTAGCTTTGCTTCTTGTAAGCTTTCAATCGGTAATTGCACCTTAAGGTTGGCTTTATCCCGCCGCCTTCCCGCCCTGTCCACGACCTCTGCCAGCGCAAAAGGGCCCCACGCCTGGCAGCCATACAACAGAATTGCTCGGACTTGGGTTGCAAAACACCGCATTCGCACATCGGGGGCAAACAGCTTCATTTTGTCCAGCTTTGTGCTTAAGGAAAACATAGCGGACCGACCTGTATCACACAACTGCTGACGGCACGCACTAAAAGGCCGTTCTGGCCCATATACCAAGCCCAGATAGCGAGCGCTATCTTTGGCAGGTACTACCTGGCCTGATAGCCGTAACTGTTGACATCTCCCGCTAAGTTCCGACTACTGGGTGCCGTCACATGCAAAAACAAGCCTTTCACACTTTGAGACATATGGTCGCATCCCAAAAGCTTCACAAAACAAGTCCACAAGATGTAGCAACTCAGACATTCGCTCTAGTGACGTCGCTAGCAGACTAACATCGTCTGCATACAACAGTATGGAGACGCGCTTGCTGTCCACAAGGGGTGCGTATACTTACGTGCACCAGCTTCTACGAGGTCATGAGTATCAATCAGATCGGCTAGTGTCTCGATGAAGAGTCCAAACAACTCCGTAGATAAAGGACACCCTTGCTTCACTCCTTGCTTAGACTCAAACTCTCCCCCCACTTTCTCATTTACCTTCATCACCATGGACACCTTCTCGTACGCTTTTCTCAGAGCACCTAGCATGGGGCCGCTAATCCCCCTCTCCTGCAACCAGTGTATTTTTTTCCGTAATATATTACGGTTCCGTAATAAAATGGCATATTTGCGTTCTGCGCTCCGTCATAGACCATGGTAAAGGCCTGGTACGGTCGTTACGGAGCCGGGGCGGGCCGAAGGCCCCCAGAGACGTTCTATTTTAGTATAAATAAGTTATAAATGAGCGATGGGGCCCAAGAAATTAACTACTATAGCTGGTCAGGGTAGCGTCAGAAGGGGAAGAAGCGGCGTCATAAGCAGAGGGAGAGGTTTCCGTCCGCCACGGCCTGCTGGCGACGGCTGACGAGCCCCGCTGGGCAGGCCATGGCCATTTCAGAGTTTGCAAAGCTGGCGGAGATTGTGTTTGTGATGGTGCCAGGGTCAGTGGAGGATGAGAGGCGGTTCTCAGCAATGTCTTTCGTCAAGAATAAGCACCGCAACCAGCTTGATAAGCATCTGGGCCTGTGCTTGCGTATGTGCTTGCCCAGGACTTCTACACCCGCTCGTCCTTCCCGTATGACAAGGCGGTGGAGAAGTGGCTGCAGAGGGCTGAGAAGCGTGGCCGTTACATGCACAACTGACGAGTTTGCTATGCCCTGGGGCATTGTACTGGCTGTGGTGTCGTGGTGAAAACGTATGACATAATCCTGAACGCATGTGGCAACGGACGGAAACAGCTGAGACTCTAATGAAATATTTATTAAATATGTGCTGGTGTATCAGGTACCCTGTGTGGGCAGGGGGGGTCTGGGGGGGCTTGCCCCCCCAGAAAAAAAATTCTGGCAGTAATAAACGTATTGGACTGATGGCATATATATTACGGAACTCGTAACAGATTCAGGATCGGCCTCCACGAAAAAAAACACACTGTCTGGCAGTAATAAACGTATTGGACTGATGGCATATTTATTACGGAACTCGTAACAGATTCAGGATCGGCCTCCACGAAAAAAAACACACTGCCTGCAACCGAAGCCACATGTGCTCGCGAGGCACCCTATCAAAGGCCTTCTCAAAGTCAATCTGTACTATTATCAACGGCGGTTGTCCCGCGATCCGATGCCGCCTGACCAGGTGTTGCTTGACAAAGAGGTGGTGAGCAGTGCCAAAATCCCGCCTGAAACCCGCTTGGCATGGGTGCCGCAGGTCCAGTATTTCCCCAGCACGTACCAGGCGGTTAAGGATCACTGACGCATAGCATTTCGCAAGTGCTCCTCCAACTGCAATGCCCCGATAATTTCCTGCCACCAACGGGTCACCCTTCTTCAAAATAGGGGATACCACCGTTTTGGTAAACTGCTGTGGAAAATCACCAGTTGCCCTGATGTGCTCTAACAAAATGTGCAGCACTGGGACGATACAGTTCTCCTCCTTTCCCTGCCTGCCCTGCTCATCCACCCGTGGGAGGCGTGCATAACGGTAACATTCCGATGGTATGGCCTCAAGCCCGTGAGCCTTTCCGTTTGGTAACCTACCGACAGCACGCGCTACCTCCTCCAAGGTGAAAGGCTCGTCCAGGATGCTAGCTGCCCGTGCTCTCCTGTCCATGACAGTCTGACATGCTTGCCAAGCACCCTCTCCCAAAGGGGCCCCAAAAAAGGAGAGATAGTTAAGGAGTCGATGTGCACCTTCAACACCCGTCTCCCCAACTCCTGCGTTTAACAAGGTGGCAAAATGATCCCGAAATACATGCAAGTCGTCAATTGCACAACGCTCCTTGAGTTGCCCTCCCAAGGCCCGCCATAGTGCGCGCTGATCGTGCCTGCACCTAACCACGAACTCACGCATTCTCTCTGCATCATATGCTGCTCTGGCACGACGTTTGGCACGGTTCATTGCGTTACGTGCCTTGCAGAACGCTTACCACAAGGGGCCTGACTTATTCTCGACCCTGCCAGGGCCAAGCCGCACCCTGCAGGCAAGCATGTGTTGCCGGACGCTTTGGCATTCCTCGTTCCACCATAATGCACCACCCCCCGCTTGCATACCCTCAGGCCTGCGACCCGCAAATACTCGAATCAGCACCTTCCGCAGGAGGGTACTAATGCGCTCCACTGACTCCGTGCTGTTGCAGACCCCATTCGATAGGTCCGTGATCACCCCATTTAGTGCATGCATGACCTGGGATCCATCAGTGAACAGAGCAGCATAGTCACGATAACGGGAAATCTCAAATACTGCTCACTTCTTTTGG